CCCTGGCCTGCGCCACACTGTTATCTGCGTCCACGAGCTAAGAATAAGTGTTCTTTGACTGATCTCTTCGCCTTCTTAATTGAACATTTTTTATTAAAGCATAGTTGACATACAATAGCACATTAGCTTCAGGTATAAGGCACAGATTTGAGATTTCTGTGTCTTACGATGTGCTCCCCACACTAAGTCCAGTAACCACCTGGCTCCCTGCAAAGTTCTGACGCGTTGTTGACTATCGTGGGCTTTTCACCCATCCCTCCTCCCCGCCACCCTTCCTTGGCTATCGCCCACATTTGCGTGTGTCCATGGGTTATGCATGTGCCCTTAGACTTCACTAAGAATCAGGTGACTCCTAAAGGTCCCAGGAGCTGCTGGAGGCATGTCCAGTCTCCAGGCTGGCTGGGGTCACTAGCTGAGTGTCCGTGGGGGCAGCCCCTCTGCCTTCTGGGGTCCCTGCAGGCCCCCTCCCTGGAGTGTGGGGTCTGGGTCCTTGCTGGGTTAGTGGGTGGCCAGAGCAGCATACACAATGGGCTCATCTGGGGGCTCCTCTGACGGGGAGGAAGGGGGTGCCCTTGTCTCCCGTCTGAGGGCCAAGAGGTTCAGCTGGGCTTAGGTCACCTCCTGGGGGGTGTCGGATGCAGCAGCCTGGAGCAGGGGGAGAGAGACAGGGATGAAACGTGGTTGGGGTTGGGGGAGCCTGGGGCCTTGAGAGGATGGGACCCACCTGACTGTCCATCTGCCTGTCCTCTTCTGCTTGTCTGTCCTTCGTGTCCTGCAATCCCCCTGGCAGAGAGGAAGGTGAGGTGGCCACTCCCTGCCTGAGTCTGGATCCTGAGTGGTTCCCCTGGGCGTCCATCCCTCCCTGGGGGTCTGCGTCCTGCCTGTTCTGCTGGAGAGAGTGAGACAAACAGCGTCTCCTGGACTCCACTGTTGAAATCCTCCAGCAGTTATCACATGTGGCCAGGTGATGATTGTCACTTCAAATAGATGAGGTCACTCTCCCGATGGAATCTGCAGGGATTCCCTAGGCCTTGGGGCCTCTGGATGCTTCTAGGATCTGACTCTTACCCTAACACCATCTCTTGCTCACTTGGCTCCAGCCTCATGGCCCATCTTCCTGAGAAGCGTGTCCTGCCTCAGGGCACTTGCCCCTGCTGTTCTCTGTGTCCCCTGCATGCACTCTGTCCCCTCCTCCTGCCTTACTTTCCGTCACAGCACTTTGCCCTCTAGGACACTGTCTGCTTGTTTGCATGGTGTCTCCACCCACAGGTGAGCCCGAGGAGGGCGGAGGCTGTTGCTCAGAGCTGCACAGTGGCTCCTGAGTGGAGCCGGTAAACAGGGAGCCCGTCCCATCTGCTGGGTGAATGAATGAAGGGGAGGCTGGGACCTGCAGGTGATTCACTTATTCAGGCCTCCTCCTGAGACCTGGGCTGCACAAGGTCAGACAGAGGACGAGGGGCCAGCAGAGGGGACCATGCAGGAGGGGCTGTGAGGTCACAGGAAACCAGGAGGAGTGATGCACAGCAGGACGACCTGGGTGCCCAGGAGAGGTCAGGGTGGACACTGCTGAGAACCAGGTGAGGTGGGGACAGGGAGGGTCCTTTGGATTAAACTGGGCAACAGAAGGTCCTTGGCCTGGACAGGAGCAGGGGTCTCACCTGAGGGTCCAGCTCCACACTCTCCCCAGGCTCTGGGTCCTTCATGGCAGCATCTGCTGGGGCAGAACAGGGGGGTGTCTCCTGGCAGGGCCCCCGAGATCTCAGGGCTGCAGACCCCCCA